TGTCCAAATATGACAGAACTGTTCCAAACAGGAACACAGAATCTCTGCAACTCCCAATTAGTCATTAGAGAGTAGTTTGCACTACAAGTACTGCAATGGCCGATGAGCAGATTACAGTAAAGAAATCGAAGACGAGTATGACAATCGATTATTTAAGTAATTTACTGTGCAAAACTGCAACACTTCCATGTGAATGTCCACGTGGAAGATGAATGTGTCCTCCTTCTAAAATTTGTCAGTGTAAATTGAAATACAAGGTTGAACTGTTAGTTGAACATGACATAAAATGTAACGGCTTCACTTTGGGCTCTGGAAGCTCTGTATTAGATGCAATTCTCACTTTTTTTTGACATTTCTAAAGTAAATGTTTGAAATGGTTTTTAGTCATTTGTCTGCCAAAACTACAGTAAGCATAATGCTTGGTCAGGGTCCATATGTCATCAAAAAAACTAATAATAATGTTTTTCACAATGACAATTTAATTTTTGCATGTTTGCAATAACACAAAGCTACAGTGCGGGGGTTTACTTGAATAAGAACAAACATTTAGTAGCCTTGCCCAGTTAAATTAATGTAAAAGCAGCATAGTGCTAAGTAAGAACTTTAGTGCAGTCAAGTCAAGGAAAAGACCTAATTCTGTATGTTGAGCAAGTGACGAATTTAGAAACTTGTAATATGCCAAAGTTGCACCATGTACAGGTTAGTATGTATTAGTGCCTTAATCCCCATGTCCTGAGCTGACACTGCTATGGTTTAGGTGTGAGCAGGTTTAGGCACAAAAAATACTTGGTTCAGTAAAGGTCATGGTTTGGAATAAAGTAGCTGGTTAACATTGTGCAAACATTGAGGTTTACGGTTAAAATAACTGCTTCCTCGTGGTTGGGGAACCTTCATCATGTTGGTTTCAGTGAGGAAACAGTTAACACTATTGGTAAAAGAAACTAACATTGACTGTCAGTCGAAGGGATGTCTCAATTCTAAAGATTTTGTAGTTGATACCGATAATATGAAAATTCCACAATTCTCGATACCAAATTCAACAAAACAAAAGAATATATTTGAACATAAAAAAACAACAGTGGCTATGTAGCCCTCAAATAATAAATCAAAAGAAAAGACTGATTACATTATAAAACAGAACAGTGGCATAAAGGAAAATTAAGAGATTCTGTTTAAAGGGCAGAGTCTTCTTAAGCAACAGAAAGAAAGTCATTTGTAAGTCATCCTGTCACATTCATCTCATGCAGGCAACTACACTTCACACCCACCCAAGCATACACAATCGGAAACTGGTAAACTTTCATGGCTTGACGCACTTTACACACCAATGTTTGTCACTAACCAAAGTTTACAGTCAAAGGAGGGGGAGGATTTTAAAAGGTGGGACAGGGAGAAAAAGAGACAGAGGAAAGGTAGGTCAGCACCACAATGCCACAACTGCTCGTTGTTGGGTGACTAATGCTTGAATTTGAACCTGAAGCCTCAGCGTTCACTCTTTTTAGTGCTCTTCAGAATGGTAAAAACAGCTCATTATCGGAACCACAGTGGACAAAGGCAAGTAAAGCAGTAGCCCTGCCCAAGTGATAGGCAAGACCATATATGTGTAAACATTGTTTGTTTTCAGCTTAAAATGTGAATATAAGTCTGAGTGACTGTGACTCACGTGTTTTCCTGGGTTGCGGGCTTTATCTTTAGTGTAATCACATTGAAACATACACATTGCACAAGCTGCACCAGCGCCCACATCATCCATCCACTTACAACCCACACCCAAATATAACTGTCTTGACCAAATTCACCATGTTGTGATAATATGGCTTCTAACCCAAGAATGGCGAGTTGATTTAAATGTTATCAAGCACAACAAACCCCTTTTAAATCAGCTGGCTTACCACAAACGCATAAGCATGTCATTTTTTCTCGAGATGTAATAAAGACGTCTAAGTTACAGGAAGGAGTGGCTTTGGTCTCTAACTATAAACATCATTAACTTTGTTTGACACAACTAGAAAACATTGGCCTTGGGATTTCAAAATCAGCTTCTGGTATTTGGCTGTCTAAGATATGATATCTGAATCAGCTGCAATGAGTAAACCACCTGTTTCCCCCCATAAATTGACAACACAAGATACATGATCTGCTATTCCACCACTGGATGCAGCTACTGACTCCAGCAGTGCACAGTGCCTGCTTCCTTCAGCACTCGCAAACCGTCATCAAGAGGAGTAGCAATGAGCCTCATCAGGGAGTTCATGTATCAGAGAGATGGGAGCTGACCTCCCCATGGACAGGCCTGAACACGCCGGCAGCTGCTGTCAGCGAGCCAGAACACAGGGGAATTAATAGAAACAGCAGCTCTCCAGGGACACTGTTAGCCCACACTGACAGCCAGCTCTGATCTGGGGTCATCTTAATGCACTCTCCCTCTTCCCCTCTGCATTAGTGGTGGGAAATATGAAACTTGGATCAAGACAAACATTATTTAACTTTCCGGGTAGGCTTAACTCTGAATACAGGCCCAGGTCTGTACAAGCTGTGATATGCACAGTTGTGGCAATAAAGAATGTGGGAGTGCCCTGCGTAGGGTTCAGTTTTCATCTGACACACTGTGTGCTATTAAATCCACATTACCCACACATGCAAGTGAGATTTTGTGGGCACAAGCAAACGTTTTAGGCCTATATTTGTTACTACAACACGCAAAAATAGCAGAGGCTTAAAAATAGCAGCGAACATGCACTCTGTAGCCAGTCTGTAAGTTATACTTTTGACGACCTAAAAAAAAAACCTTACTTCATAACTGTTCAGTTTTTGTTCACTGTCATTTTAGAGGCTGTAAATTGTGGGTTTGTTGAATTCTTTTGCACGACAGTAAGAGGTCGACTACCCCTAATGTAAGGCTGCAGCAAATGTTTGTTTTTATTCTTGATTTATATCATTGATTACTTTGGCTGTTTTGCCCAATTAACTTCTGGGTCTTGATGATTTTCTACAGAACAAGGTGTTGCATTCAGATTTTTTGTTTAATTTGACCAGAAAAACAACAAAATATTCAGTTTAATATCATATATGAGACAAACGTATTCAAACTTCATATTTGAAAAGCTGGAATCAGCAAGTGTTTGTCAGTTTAAGTAGAAAAATGAATCACAGGTTTAATTAAAAGTCTTCAAACTAATTTATGTCTAACTCATTCAGCTGTGCCTTCACTTGTACACTGTTCATGGGGTGGATGAAAAGTACCAAGGTGTACTTTAAAAAGTACTCAATATATTGAGTAATGTTGTTAAAGCATGATGAGTGTGGACCTAAGCTAAACTTAATTTTGTAATATTCTATATAATAATATGCTCAAATTTTAGAAACTGAGATCGATAAAACTCACGACTTCTGACAGACACAGCCCCTCTCAAGCTCATACCTGTCACAGCCTGTTATTAGGGAAAGAAAATGCCTGCGAACTGATTCCAAAAACGTACAAGCAGTTCTAAAAAATGCTACGATGGACAACTTGCTATAAAAACAGGGCTTCTCCATTAAGTAAAACATAGGACTTTCAATTCTAAAAGACTTCTGATGATGTGGATTAAATCCATTGTTTCCTAAAACCAGCCCTTGCTCACTGAGAGCTGAGGAGCTGATAAGCTTCTGCAGCTGTTGCAGCAGTGACCCTTTTTGCTGCAGGTCTGTTTCTGACTGAAACTAAATAAATGGATTGAACAGCCTCCTGCAGCACAACTCACTGTCAAAGCCATTCTTCTTTCAGTTGATAAAGTAGAACTATTAGCAATTACATCTCTCTATGATGACACATTTTACACCTCATATTTCAGTCCACTGTAACACACACACAAAAATGAAAATTCACTCATTATCTACTAAACACTATGCCGATGGAGGGGTGGGTGAAGTGTCTGAGTCCACAAAACACTTTGTTAGTTTCAAGGGCAGAAAGTGTTGCAGCCAAACCCAATACAATGGAAGTAAATGGTGGCCACTTCTTCAAATGTAAAAAAACGACAAAAAGCACAAATTGCCTCCACAGTGCATCCAAGCCCTGACATTCAAATTCCACTCAAAACTATTTCATTTACAGTTTTCCACCTAAATGTATGCGGAAGATATCAGTGGACATTTAGGCTAAAATCCTGATGTTAATGATGCCATTTCAAGTGGAACTTGAATGTTGGGGTTTACGGACACTTGGATTTTATTTGGTTTGAAATATCGGTCGCCAGTTACTTCAACTGTATTGGGTTTGGCTGCAACACTGTCTACCCCTGAAACTAACAAAGTGTTTAGTGGACTCAACACTTCACCCACCCCTCCATGGTGAGAAGATAATGAGTGTTAGGTTTATTAGGGTTAGGGTTTGACTTTGATTTTTCTGTTTGAGGGGGGTGAACTATCCCTTTAATATCTTCAAATGCATCGCATTGGAGGAAATCGGTGACTGTTTAAAAAACTTTGCAGAGGCTGCAGAAGCCCTCGTGAAGACAGTGAGAGGAGATAGCCGAGCCCGGATCCACAGACTCGCCTACGCACCCACACCGCAGAGCTCGAGAGCGTCCCAGATTAAGGCCAAGTTATATAACTTGCTCTCCATTTGTGCGTCTGCATCGCATGTGCGCTGCCGCTGGCTCGTCGATGCACAGAACAACACGCTCCTCTCCGCAGCAACAGCGCAATAAAACGAGCTCGGGCTGATCCCAGACTCACTTGACCTCGTGAAAACTGCACATAACGACGGATGTGACAGCTCGCTGACTGAGACGTGTGGGGCTAGCTTCTCTTAGGAACCAGTTAGCTCGTTAAGCTTCACCTCAGCCACCATGTTACTGTGTGATGAGGGGGTTTGAGGTGAGAGCGGAGGAAGGATGCCGCCGTCAGCAAACAACAGGGGACGCTTTTATCTCCCTGTAACAAGTGTGTTACTGACGAGCAAATGGAGGCGGACGGGTCCAGCCCGGAGCCCCGGGACGCTGCTCCCGCTCACTCACCTCGGTATGGTGATGCACTTGGTGTTGATGTTCTGGGTGGTGATGGCTTTCTCCAGCTCGTCCAGCTGCCCCGTCTTCTTCAGCTTCTTCACCAGACTTTTCACGGCTTTCTCGCACCACTTCTCCTCCTGTCCGTTCTGCTCCCCTTTCTTCCAGCCCAGAAGTCTCTTGACAATCGGGGGCGTGAAGGGCAGAATAGACATCTTGAGTTCGGCTAAAGTCCCAGCGCCGGTGTCGAGAAAAGTCCGGTCGGTTTGCGGGAAACACGGGAGGTGGGGGGGGGGGGTATCGATCCTCTGCCGACCGACCAAGCAGCGCAGGTTGAAGCGTATTCAGCCGGTTAACTGTTGTTTAATGAACACCGAGCGGACGCATCCCGGAGTTTTTACCCCCAGCTCGAGCGCAGGCAGACGGTCTGAGTCGAGTAAACCAACCACGGACTGCGCGCGCCCTGGTAGTCTGCTGAGCTGTGGACCTCTGTGCTATTCCGCGATGAAACCTAGTCCCGTCTGCACGTCTTCAGTTCAGAGCTCTTTTTTCACATCCACCCGAGTCGAGTCACGGCCGCACAAGGTCTTTACCTCGCACACGTTCAAATAAGGAAGTGGAAGCTCTTTTCGCGTTTTCCGACTTGTTCACGGATTTCCTCCCCCCGATCGGCAAAGTTTGGTTATGTTCATCCGCGGCGCTGAGTCCGCCGACGGAAGTCTGCCAGAAGTCTGCATCAAATGCTAATGCAGGAGCTGCAGCCGAGTCTGTGCAGATTGCACAGCCGGGACAGGCCGGTGTGGGCAGCAGCTCTGAGCAGCAGCTGTCTCTGTGTGCAGCCCTGATGTTGCACAATCCCTGCTGCTGCAGATAAAACTGCATGCGGCCTCCATAAGCTGTCACAATCACACTAACATTGGCCGATTCATTTTTGTTTTGCAATTGTGAGCAAAACAGTAGGTGAGTGGACTTGGGAAGTTCAGTGACACCAAGTCCCCTTTCTCTTTTGGATTTATTTTATTCATCAATTTATGAACGGTCACAGCTGAACCACGAAGGGGGCAAAGGGGGGCACTGAACCAGGCCCCCAGGATTTTTTAGATCCCCAAGGTTTACCCCATACAAAATGGCTGTATGTAATTAATGGCCCTTTCTTCACCTGATTTTTTATTGCTGGTCTACAAGATCTAGTGTCAAATTCTAGTTTGAAGACCTTAATTCTTCAAGTTAATATTCTGCTCCCTTGTGAACCAACACGAGGTGTGACGCTGCAACATATGAGATACGACTATTGATATGCTGGTGCCAAATGTCAATATTATTTATTTATATAGGTTTATACAATAAAGTTTATGGTTATTTTTATGTTGGAGTGATGGCACATGTGGACATTGACAAGTTGCAGTGTGACTGACATCAAATTACAGCAAACAAATACATAAATCCTCCACTTAACCTCCTGAAGGGCATTTTGTATTATTCAGTTGAACAACATTTGATTGTCTTGCAATATATCAATTATCCTAGCATCACTGTATCGTGATGTTATTGTAATGACGGGCCACATATGACATATTGTATTGAATTGTTAGTTACCCTGCAATACCCACCCCTACTTAAGACTTGATTTGAATATTTTACAGTCCTGCAAAGTTGAGTTTCAAAATTTGTAGTCAACACTCAGAAAATTTGACGCAAATAAGGTCATTCAAGCATATGATGGTTGACTTGGGAAATAATGAAGCTGTCATGCATTACGATGGGTGCATTAGAGGATACAGTGGTACTATCTACAAATCTAAGAAATAAAGGTTCTTTTTAAGTCAGTGAAAAACTACATTACATCCAAAAGCTTTATTTATTCTTTGTCTTGAAACTGCTCAAATAAAATCACCCATCTGTTTCAGTTTATCTGCGCAATGTAATTACAGAGAGGGCCATGATTTTCTGACCTCCTTATTTCCATCCACAGGAGAGTAAAGTTTAGGATTTTTTTCTGAAAAAGGAGAAAACACAAATTTTTTTCAGATCCAAATTATTTATTTTTTGAAATCCGCACACAGCTCAGCCCCTGAAACCAAAACTATATCTGGCACACACGCACATACACGCACACACACACACAAACACACACACAATGTCAAGGATTAAAAGTGCCAGATATACACTAGAGTGTATAGCACAGCTGTGCTCACCACAGAGATGGTGATTGTTGGACAGATCCGGGTGTGAAGCTGCCTTTGTTCTTCCTGCTTCAAAAGAAAAGACTTTATTGCGTCCAAGAGCAGTTTCCAAACTTGGTTGCCTTATTTGCACATGCTTGAAAGAGTTGTAAAAGTTGTGAATGTTCTGCACAAGGGGACTGGTGCACTTTCTGGGGTGTCGACTTACAAAATCAATCTTTTTAGGTTGTGTCATATATAAAGGGTTTTGTCTAGCAGGCCAGACAAAGCAAAGCAAATAAACACGCGTATAGTGCCCCAAAAGGTTGTAAATGACATTGGAAAATCTGCATCAAAGGAATAAAGTGAATTTAAATTTTGTTTTCAAGTCCCAAATTTTTAATCAGTGCCTCCATTGACAGTTCCCAGTTATACAAGAATAGTAGCACTGACCTGTGGTTACCAGTTTGGTATGTGTGCACAGGCCCACTGACATGTGTCCAGCCGCCCCCCTCTTTTTGCAGTGAGTAGTTTGTGCTAAAAATACAGCTGTCCTGGTACAGCTTTAGGCTTAGCCAGATAGACACCTTTACTTTTATCTATTTTGGTGACACAGCAATGTATATTTTTCTATCTGCTGAAGCAATGCCAAGGTTCTTTCTTCATATTCTTCATATTCTTAAAGTACTGCAAATTTTTTTTATATCAAATTAAATCATTGTTAGTTAAATTAGGAAATTATAAAATATGCTTTTTAAACCGGCTGTATAATATTTATATTTAATGTGAATCGATGGTTTGAGCCAGTGAGAACATTTTACATGAGTTGGTTTTCGTACAAATAGCCATCAACAGCTCCATGTCCGTGGATCAACAATCAAGTCTGCAGCTGTAAAACTAACTCCCTCTCTGGTGTGTTGGCAGGTTGGAGGAGAGGGCTGAAGGAGCGTGCAGTCATGTGTCACATGCTGAGGCCCTGCGGCCCTCTCGGCACCTGTTTCCGCCCCCGGGGACACGACCAGCTAAGACAGCTGGTTTGTTTTGGAGAACTGTAGGGCGAGACAGGACAGATATGGGGTGTGGGGTGGGGGATGGGATTACAGATGGGCCACAGTAGACGGGAGGCAGGACAGGGGGTAGGGTGGGGGTCTATGGGGGCTTCGATGAGAAGAATTACTGAGCACAAAAGGCATGTCAGCAAGACTGAATGGGCAATCCGATGGATGATAATGACATTGTGCTGGCTACAACCTCAGAGGACATGGTCCAGTGTGTGTGTGTGTGTGTATGTGTCAGAATGTATATAAGCCTTGGGGTTCTGTAAATCACAGCAGTTGTGGAAATATTAAGATTCTTCACTCATGTAAAAGTAGCAATACCAGAGTAAAAACAACATTCAAATTAAAAGACCTGCATTTGAGTATCATTTAGTAAAGTAAATTGCATCTATTGCTGCTTCAAGACATACACTGAACTCGGCAGATCCTCCTGACATTCTCCAGAGGGACTGTATGTTTGAATGTAAATGTCCAAGTTAGAGCCTTTAGACTATCTGCCATGCCCTATCAATTAAATCAATCAATTTCAATAAATCAAATTTCTCACTCTCTTAATAAGTTGACTGTGGAATTTCTAAGGCAAATCTTTCGCTCACCTTGCTTTTATTTATTGTTTTTCATCTCTAAAAATTATTATCCTTGCGATGATCGCTGGAGGCTCTCAAACCATCTCCTGTAATGCCTGCAGCAGGTCACACATCTCTGTCTCACAGTGCCATTTTAATTCTCAAACCAGATCCCCTCTCTATCTCCTCAGCACACCAACAGGCCACCAGGGGCATCAGAATCTCTATTGTCCCAAAATTGGGAAATTAACAGCAAGATAATCAACAAGCATGAACAATTTAGGATATAAAGTAAAGATAAGTTAAAACAAAATAAATTACTATATACAAATTACAAATTGCAATTAGACTACTGCATTGGGAGAGAGAGAGGGAGTGTGTATGGTGGTCTACTGGGTGCAGTGCTTGTTGTAGTCTGACAGCAGCAGGGAGGAAGGACTTCCTGAATCTCTCCTTCACACACTTGGGGTGAAGTCTATCACTGAAGGAGCTGCTCAGTGTTGTTAAAAAGTCCTGCATGGTGTGGGAGATCGTCTCCATCACGGAGGACAGTTCGACCAACATCCTCCTGTCTCCCACCATCTCCACTGGTTCCAGAGAGCTCCCCAGGACAGAACTGATCAGTTAATTCAGTCTCTTCCTGTCCGCAGCTGAAATGCTGCTGTTCCAGCAGACCAGTCCCTTGAAAATGACATGATGCCACAACTGTGTTGTAGGTCATGAGGAGTGGCCCCTGTACTCCAAAAGACCTCAGCCTCCTCAGCAGGTACAGCCTGCTCTGAGCCTTCTTGTAGAGTGCGTGTGTGTTATGAGTGCAATCCATTGTTTGTTGGGGGAGTGTGTGTGCGTCAATTCATCAATGACCACCCTGAATCCCACATATTCAGGAGTAAAGAGGTTAATTTGTCCTCAGCTCTGGTCCTTTCACAGGGTGAATAGTCTCATTCCACCACAGTCTCTCTCTCTCTAATTACACCACTGTTGATAATGCAAACAAATTAATAAAGTGTGCTGGTCAAGGAGCTTGGCTTCCTAACGCAGACATAACCAACATTTTCATAATCATTCTCATAATTACTTTGCAGTGGAATCTGTTTGGCAACCAGTGAGAATCAAAAGATTATTTTGTGGTGGGCCTGACTTTCGGGTGTAGAGTAGCCCAAGCATTTTAACCAACTGTCTGAGGTGCTGCACTGCAAAAAATCGAACTCTTATTTCTTTACTTAAAAAAGTATTTTAAGTTTTTATAACTTTGAAATATAAGTTATTAATCTTGAAGGCAAACACTTAAGTCTGTCCAGCAAAAAACGCTAGTTGGTTGGTCCAACAAAAATAAGTGAGTTACTACTACTTATATCTTCAAGTTGCAAGTTAATACAAATGAGTAAAAGTTCTGATAACTCATGTGTCTTTGTTGTGAAACGCGGGAAAGCCAACTTTTTGAGTTGATGTTTGTTACTTGAATGCCCCACCCCAGTTTTGTAGCAGTGGAGCTGGTGTCCACTCATGTACAGTATGTATTAACCTACTTTTCTTTTTATTAAGAGTGTCAGAATTCTTACTTAGTTACACAGTGATAACTTAGCTAATGAATAAGGTTGGCATTATCGTAGAAAATGTTACATGCCTTTAAGTGCGCTGCTAGTGGCTAAGGTGCTCTGGTTTTCCTATATTTTCTAATACAATTTCAAAAATATACATACATGTAGTTCTAATTCACTCCACAATTAACTGCAACACATGCTTTGAAAACATGTAAAGTAAAAAATAAAACTGGATGTGGGAGCTGAGGGTTTATGAGAATGGGACAGACGGATGAACAACCTGAAAACAAAATGCTGACGTCCACTGGCTTTCGCCAGCACAGATCCATAAACATTGCTGAAAAGGCTGAATATTGCAAAACTATGGAGGGTTGAAAAACATGATAGCTTGAATGTCCTTAAAAAGTTTATCATTATGACTGCTAAAA